CTACGAAACGCGATGGTGCGAGAAATATATGTTATTCACATCAAATAATGGTGACGTGTTCGAAAACATGCCTTCCCGAAGACGTTGTTTATTTTTTCATTTTTGCCCCTATTACGCTTATTTTCCTTGACTTCTTTAAATGTATACGAATTTGCTTCGAAACACGATGGTGCGAGAAATATATGTTATTCACATCAAATAATGGTGCAGTGTTCGAAAACAAGCCTTCGCTGAGACGTTGATTATTTTTTCGTTCTTGCCCCTATTACTATTATTTTCCTTGACTTCTTTAAATGTATACGAATTTGCTTCTAAACGCGATGGTGCGAGAAATATATGTTATCCACATCAAATAATGGTGTCGTGTTCGAAAACAAGCCTTTCCGGAGACGTTGATTATTTGTTTTCGTTTTTTTCCCCTATTTACTCTTATTTTCCTCGACTTCTTTAAATGTATACGATTTTGCTTCGAAACGCTATGGTGCGAGAAATATATGTTATCCACATCAAATAATGGTGCCGTGTTCGAAAACAAGCCTTTCTGGAGACGTTGATTACTTTTTTGTTTTATCCCCTATTTACTCTTATTTTCCTCGACTTCTTTAAATGTATACAATTTTGTTACGAAACACGATGGTGCGAGAGTTCACATAAAATAATGGTGCCGTGTTCGAAAACAAGTCTTTCCGGAGACGTTGATTATTTTTTCGTTTTTGCCCCCAATTACTCTTCTTTTCCTCGACTTCTTTAAATGTATACGATTTTGCTAAGAAACGCGATGGTGCGAGAAATATATGTTATTCACATCAAATAATAGTGTCGTGTTCGAAAACAAGCCTTTCCGGAGACGTTGATTATTGTTTCGTTTTTGCCCCTAATTACTCTTATTTTATTCGACTTCTTTAAATGTATACGATTTGGTTTCGAAACGCGATGGTGCGAGAAATATATGTTATTCACATCAAATAATGGTGCCGTGTTCGAAAACAAGCCATTCCGGAGACGTTGATTATTTTTTCGTCTTTGCCCCTATTTATTCTTATTTTCCTCGACTTCTTTAAGTGAATACAATTTTGTTACGAAATGTGATTGATGGGACAAAGATCCCGGCTCTCTCGACTCGGACGGCCACCGTACCTGCAAGAACCCAAAGCCAAGGACCCCGGGAGGGATGCCCGGCTTTGGGCCTCCGATGCTTAAGTCAGTACAGGATCCATATGAGAGCACATATAGAGAGAGGATGTGTAGTAAGGGAATGAGTAGAGAATGTGGGAAATGAATACCTTAGCCCCCCTTTTATAGGGGGAGTGTACCTTATAGTCCCAATTGGGCTTGGCCTAATTTGGGCTCGGCCCATATTATTATATCAAGTGTCTTAGCCCATTTATGGGCGTATCTTCAATATATATCCATAAAAATCGGTCGGGTATGACATGTTATATCAAATACTACCGGTCGAGCCGGCAATACTAGTTGTGGCTATATCATCTAGTCCCCCCCACTCTGGTCGAGTGAGCATAACTCGATCCAAGAGTGAAGTAGAATAATTCGCCGCTCGAGTCAAACACTGAAACTGAATGGTTGTAGAAGTCGAAATTTAAGTGACCCGCCACTGGGGTCAAGCACCGAAAGCTGAGATTTGAGAGACCGCTGAGGCCGAAGGCCGAGAGTCGAGACCGCTTAGGTCAAGAATCGAGAGTCGAGACCGTTTAGGTCGAGTGTCGAGAATCGAGACCGTTCAAGTCGAGAACCGAGAGTTGAGACCGTTCAGGTCGAAAACTGAGAGTTGAGACCGTTGAGGTCGAGAGCCGAGAGTTGAGACCGTTCAGGTCGAAAACCGAGAGTTGAGACCATTCAGGTCGAAAACCGAGAGTTGAGACCGTTGAGGTCGAGAGCCGAGAGTTGAGACCGTTGAGGTCGAGAG